GGAGAAAATGCCCATTTATTGAGGCAGCTCTGCATATTTATACTGCGGGGTGTGGTCTGACAGTTGAAACATTTTTTTAACAATTTAATGGTTTTAGCAGCTGGCATGGGGTGTGTTCTAATTGGTGGGTAAGGATCATGTGAGTCAGCAGGATGGCTCTTCTCAGGGGATGGGGAGGTTAGTCTTTGGAGCCAGGCCGACTCCCAACAGTTTTTCTCTGTGAATGTCACATGCTCCCCTCTCTAGTGGTCACTGTCATCTGCAGAAAATGTTTGTTGGGGCTGAGAACCGAGGCCATCAGTGTCAGTTTCACTGTTATCCCCAGGACACTTGTGCTCAGGAGAATGAGGGAGCAGTACACTGTAATTATTTGCTTGGGACATTCCTGAAAGCTGATTTCCCAGATAAACAACTGGTTTCACTGAAGAAATGGTTCTGATCTGGGCAAGCAATGAGCTTATCAAATAGAAGTTTAATAATCAACACCCACAGCAAGAAGCCCCATGCCTAGTGTGTACCAACCCTACCAAGAATAATGCTGGTTACATGAATACTCCTCAAAACCTTTTTTGGCAGACCTGCCTTAAACTTCCCCAAAACACATCCTCCAACCCTAGAACCATCCCTTGTCTTAAGACCTATTGTTCCCCTTCTTAACCATATATATGACCCTGCCACAGTGAAATTCTCCTTAATACTAAGACTCCATTTTCTATGACTGAGGACTCGCTGGGTGTTTGGGAGTTGGCAAAGTCAATAAGAATGACTTGCTCATATTCCAATAGAATCAACTGATCCTGTGGAGGTACAGGGAATTTCCCCTCTACTCTCATGAATATTGGGACAGGGGTGGGAGTTTAGTCTTCCTCCAATCTATGGGGCACACTTTCTGCTGTCAAGGTGACCAGAACAGGGAGGATCCTTGGGTGCCAGGCTGGTGGCAGGTTTTGTCTCACTTCCGTGTCTGCCTGTGTCACTGTGAGCAGCATTGCTATCCTCTGTCTGACAGTAATAGTCAGCCTCATCTCCAGCCTGGACCTCACTGATGGTCAGGGTGGCTGTGTTCCCAGAGTTGGAGCCAGAGAATTGGTCAGGGATCCCTGAGGGCCGGTTGCTATCTCTGTAGATGATTAGCAGAGGGGTCTGTGCTGTCTTCTGCTGGTACCAGTGCACATATTTATTTCCAATGCTGTTGCCTCCACARGTGATTTTGGTCGTCTGTCCTGGGGTCACCGATACTGAGGATGGCTGAGTCAGCACATAAGAGGCTACAGAGCCTATAAGGAAATAAAAGGAGAGGGGGACTAATGGTTATAGAAACTTCCCATGAGATTCATTCTTTCCCCCTGGCCTGGAAGACCTTGAGAAAATCTGTGGGACCAGGGTATCCCCTGGCATCCAAACCAGCCATAAGGGCCCATGAACCTGACTCAGGGTTGGAGATTTGAACCCATGAGCAAACCCAACACCTTTCCTCCTCAGGCTCACCCAAGCCAGAGAGCACAGTGTGGCAAATTCAGCCCAAATTTAACTTTCAGCTGGTTCCTGAGCATCCTGCCCACCACAGATAAAGCTCTGCTGAGCTCAGAATTAAAGCCAAGTTAGTTACACAGTAGCCTTGAGCTGGGGTGTATGGTAGGGCCTTGGGTCAGCACCTGTGCAATGAGCCAGGAGGCTGAGGAAAAGTGCTGTCCAGGTCATGCTGTCCTGAGGCTGCTTCTTGAGTTCCAGGCTGAGCTGTGTTCCCCCAGGGGCCTCTTATTCCCTTGTTGGGGACAGCTGCCTGTTATGCAAATCATCCCATGTCAAGGCTGCTACTGGAGGAAGTTGTGTGATGTTTAGAGCAGGGCTTAACCCCAGGGACACAAAGAAGGGAGGGGCAGCCCTGAAGAAGTACCCTCATCTCACAGAAGACTCCTTTACTTGCTGGCTTCAATTGCTGGACCATGTCTCCATCCAGGCTGTTTTCAGCCTTGAACCTGGGCTGGCCTGGTTATATAGAGATGAGTCTGTCTTTGTAAACTGAACCAACTSTATGGTTGAAAATTGGAGGTTTTGCCAGCTATGGGATCCTGTCCCAGATACAGCTCCTAGGCTGTGCAGGTCAATCAAATTCCTCCTAGAGTGTACCTGGTATCTTARAGGTCCAATGAAGTACAATATTACTCTATCCCTTGTGTGAATGCCTCATGCAGATTTTGAGTGCTCTGCCTCACTTCTCTAGCATGTTCTGGGCASGTTTGACAACCATGGTGCAATACTGACAGGTACAGAGCAACAGCATGAATGATGGCTTGAGGAATCCTGGACCTCTGCCATCTCCCAACAGGGACATTCTACAATGATCAGATCTGGGAGACATAGACATCAAAGAATATGTATGTCAATGTAAATTACAATACTATAGAAAAATCCAGTATGTGAAATCTCCCTGACAGGATGAGATCTGGTATTTGGGAAATGTGTGATAGGTCTAGAGTTTAGCTCCATTACAATGAGCTGGGTGTGGTAAAGAAGAGTCAGGAAAGCAATAAGATTTTTTTCTGCTAACAAATATGGAAATTCAAGAAGAGCTAGATATGAGTGAAATGGAGATCAAAAAATTTGTACTTGTTTGAAACAGGATGTGTAGCAAAATGACACTTTTTCCTCTGAATCTCAGAGTGTGGGCCCAGCACATACTTAGGAGGCTTTGTCAAGTGGTTCTCTAGTGCCCCCTGGTGGCCTCTCCACATTGGGTGCTTCCTGTTTAGGGCATCCTTGGTCAAGGCGCAGATTCAGAACTAGCCTCTCAGGTTGAGGATTCCTTGATGTTTGGCCCTTGGAGGAATTTCATCTTCATTCTACAGATGTGACAATATCAGGAACAGGAAGGAGTAGCTCAGGTTTAACAGGAAAATATGAACAGATGCATTAGGAAGAGGAGGGTCAGGACCCTTCTGAATTATCTCTTCATATTTCTTTCTATCTTTCTTTCTTTTTAGAGAGAGAGAATTTATATATATATATACATATTAGTTTTCGGTGGACACATCATCTTTATTTTCTTTTTTATTAAAGAGAGTGTGAGAGAGGGAGAGAGAGGGAGAGAGAGAGAGAGAGAGAGAGAGAGAGAGAGAGAGAGAATTTTAATATTTATTTTTTATAGTTTTCGGCAGACACAACATCTTTGTTTGTATGTGGTGCTGAGAATCGAACCCGGGCCGCACGCATGCCAGGCGAGCGCGCTACCGCTTGAGCCACATCCCCAGCCCCTTTATTTTATTTTCATGTGGTGCTGAGGATCAAACTCAGCACCCGGTGCATGCCAGGCAAGCGTGCTACCGCTTGAGCCACATCCCCAGCCGGATTTCTTATTTCTTTAGGGTGGTGTGTGGTCATGGAATTGGTTCCATAGCCTTGTGCTGGGTGACATTGGAATCAGGAACTGGGTCTTCCTAGGGTCAGCTTTCAGTGCTGAAGCTCATGTTTGTAGAGTCAACATGAGTGAGTGGTGAGAACYACAGACATAGACAGGAGACCATTCACCGCCAATGTTTATTCAGACCCACTGTGGTCTACACCAAGTTCCATCCTGGGAATTCAGCAGTAACGTGATGCATCTTTTGCACTAAGAGTTTCCAACTTCTCGTTGGGTCTGTGCTTTGGACACATTTAGTGTGCAGTCTAATAGTCTCTCCCACCCACTAGAGCCTGTGTTTTGTCCCCTCTCTTTCTTGAAAATCCAGTTTTTCCATGTATCAAGCATCCAGTGATAAGTATATAGTACAACACACAATAATGGCATGGAACATTAAGTTCACCAGAATTCTTTGTTAGGGCAATTCTGCACTTTTAAAGGAGTGAAATATATAGGTTCTTGCATCATTTGCCTCTTAAACATGGGTGTGATGGCTGAAGCTGCAAGAGCAGAACAGGGACATGAAGAAAGTATCAGCAAGCCAAGCCAAGCGAGTTTCGAGATAAGGGTATTCCTAGAAAGATGGGGCAATCTCACACTAAGCATGCTGAGGGGGAGGAGGAAGGAGAAGTTTGCAAGAGGGAGCCAAGCTGGAAGACAAGCCTGCCATTCAAGGCCTGCCCAGTGCCCCACTGGTGCCAAGACATCTGTGTCCCTCATCCCATCCCACTCCACCCTCGGGCATTGGGCCACTTGGGACCTCACAGAACAGTTGGTGAAGAAGAGGGAGATTCCCCTGGCCCCTCACCTCCTAGAACACATGGTAGACAGCCAGGATGGGGATCGGCCTCTGCCATATTGTGGCCCCTCCCCCCACGGAAATTCTCCGCCATCTTGTGCAAACCCGGAAAAGCCAGTTAAGCTGAATTCGCCCTGGGCCAAAACCATCCTCCAGGGTCTAGCCCACCAACAGTGTACCACCCAAGTTCCAATCTGCCTTAGATGTGTGGAGATAACTTTAGCTAAATTTTATGCTTCTCCTGCTTCCCTGCAAGGGACCAAAAGTCAATAGAATTGCCAGCTTTTCTCAAATCACCTTTTACACCCATTTTATCTCTGTTTTAAAGAACTTTGATAAACTTTACTCCCCTTTGTTAAATGGGATTAGGGAAACAGCGTTTTCTTTTCTTCCGGAAGTTGGCTAGAGTGCACCACTACAGAGGGAAATGCCTGCTGGGGATCTAAGAACTTTGGTATCTCCCTTTTTTCCCCCAAAACTCTGTCCTCATTATTAAATTGGCATTAATTGGCTTCAAGGACAGGAACTGAACTTTCAGATACAAATGTTGACACCCCAGGGGCCCCACTCCACTTTCCTGGGGAAACCTGCTACTGAAAAGTTAGGAGATATGGAGCATGCCTAGTGCCTGGGGTGGGAAAAAAACAGATGAACCAATCTTATAAGTAAAAGGAGGGACTTAGGGACTCCCAGCAGCTGCTGAAGCCCTTTTGCTTTGGGGAACTCCCTCCTTMCTTCCCTGCACTGTAAGGATTACTTCACCTCTGTCTACTTAAGAAGAAAAAAGGTGGGTGCAGTAATGTGTTGATATTGTAGATTGTTTCTTGGGAATGATCTTGGATGAATGTGTGTCTAAAAGATGATGTTTTATTGTAACAATATGGTATCTGAATGGGTTTTTGAAAAATTGCACAATCTTGCAGTTAAAAGTTGGGTTTAGGTAATTGTTTAGTTTATGATTTCAGATAACTCATGCCAGAGAACTTAAATACTTAGGATGGAAAACTAAAGAACTGTACTTCCAAGTTGGCAAGTAACTCCCAATAATTCAGTTTTTTTCATCAATTTTTGAATTACCTGTAGACTGGGAAGATTTCACTAGGTGTACCAGTGCATTATTAATTTGGGCAAGGATAGTAATCTGTTCCCCTCAGGATTTAGGAAAGGAAAGTATTGGATTGGGACGTTGGTCTGGCTTATTGAAATGACATTGAATAGCAAAAGTCTTGGAAATTTTTAAAGCTTAATTTTGAATATAGATGGTACTGTGTGGTTCTCTTTTGGAATTTTTTTTCAGGTGATTTAATGTAACTTAATACTACATTAGGAACTTCAGAACAAAGGAATGGCTTAATGATCCTGAAGGGATTTCTTCTGATGGTAGCTTTTATATTATGAAGTAAGATCCTATTTTCAGTTTTGTGTGAGCAAGTTTTTCTAGTGTAGGAAAATTTTTTTTTCTTTGATAAAATAAGATGTAAAGGTATTAAAGTTTGTTAATTGTATCCAAAACTTGTATCATAGTTTTCAACATCCAAACCTGAAAAATATGACTTATGGTTAAAATGCCTTAGGCATGAAGTTTCTGCTCAGAATAGCAGTTTTCCCTGCTCCTTCCAGACCTCAGCCAGGACTTAAGTTGAAATGCAAATGGAAGAAGCCTGCAAGCTCAGTAGAGACTGATCTGAGGCCCAAGGAAAAAGGGGGGGGGGCGGTAAAAGGTGTCTTTTTACCTGAACTCAAACTGGACTAAACCAAAAAGTAAATTGTGTGGTATTTACTAATTACTGGCTAATCATTTTTTTTCTAGGACCCTTGCTTTTTCTTAGATTCTATATTTTTTGAGCTCATGATTTTGACCCTGTAGACCTAGGTTAATGTTTTTCTGATCAGTTCTATTTTTTATAAACTGTGGAGTTTTAAAACATTTCAATGGAGATTTCACCTGTGAAAAGCTACAAGGCCTTTACTATTGTGTTATGTGTGTACACTTGTGTTATGTGTTGTATGTCTGTATGTGCGTATGTCCATATGTCATACACATGGTATGAAGATTGGCAGATATATGAGGAGCACTCATGAAAAAATTAAAAAATAAATGGATCCAAATATCTTTTATSTTTTATTCATGTGATTTAAATGGTTCAATTTAAATTGGTGAACAGATGAAAGTAAAGATGTATAAAGAAGGTCTGTGTAARTTTGTTTTTACAATCAGTCATATGTTAAAAGGACAAAGATTCCTTAAAACATCAGTTTACCCATAACATTGTGTTTTATTAAGTTTTGTTTCTTGTTTCTAGAACAAGTAATCTTAAAGAAATTAAACAGCTGGTTAAACAAGAACTGTTATTCTAGAGAATTGTGCTATGTTATTTCTTTAAAAGCTAAATTTAGTTAATATAAAAACATCAATGTAATTGTGATGCTATTAATGTGTTAATATCTTCMAGGTATACAAGTGTGTAAAGTAGAAGCTTTAAAAGAGCATTATATCAATCT